ATATAATCGGGAAGAAGAAACCAGCCTGTACTTTCCAAAGCATTTCTATTTTCTTCTCCTCGAAAAGTTTTTTACCGATGTCTTGTTTTTCAATAAGAAAAAGACTCATCTCATATAGTGTGTTCATCTGAGGGGTACCTAGATGCTACAGGTCCTCTGTTTGTTTCTCTCATTGAATAACTTCTAGCATCTGTATCGCAGTTACCGTCGTAGTCATAGACTTTGGTTATTTTCGCCAACGTACTAACAAACTTGGGCTGCGCTTGCTAAGCGTTACTTCAGGTCAGTGGTGTGAAGAGAACCTTTATGAGCTAAGACAACAACAATATACACAAGACTTCAATTTTAAATTTAGAACCAGTCGATGAAGCAAGCCAGTTGACGTTATTACCGAAACCAATGAATCCCGTACAGAATACTCACGTTGCCATGAAGCATAATAGTTGGAACTCTCAGCAACGGACGAAGTACCACTACTCTCGCGTCCAGTTTTGAAACATACAACAGCTTCAATGTCAATGAGGAAGCTCCTTATGTCTCTCTGAAACAGTTGTGCAGTCCACGGTATCTTAATCTGACCAAAGACAGTGATGAAACTAACGTGATCGAGAAAAGTAAGACTAGTTAAATATCATAATTAATGTGCTGCAATTTGCACATGTCTTTTGCACATCGATAATTCTTGTTCATCTCCTAGTTTCGATCCACTCCCATATTCCTTAATCACGCATGTTTCTCTACTCCGAACATCATCACCTTTCGTGACTTCGGTAGAAAATATCGTACTGTAGTCTACTTTAGCACATTCTTGTCAGCATTATGAAAAGACAGCACACTTCCCTGTAGCATTAACTGAAGCTAACTGAAAGTAATAGGCTAGAAAGAGTTCAAATAAGTACAGAGAATAGCACACTTATAAACATAAAAAGCATCCATCCTTCAGGTAAATGCACTGAACAACCACCGTTCATCATCAAATTTAGTCAGATAAAGACGCATTCAGCAGTCAACAAATATCATAGCACTTTACCGTCTACGAAACGTATTCTAAATGAAGAATAATACAGGAAACCCTGTCAAAAGCATAAAAAAGATAGCCATACAACACAACAAAACCACCGATGTGAAAGCTATCAAGATGAATCCCCTCAAACAGCAGATATTAAGAAGGCAAACAGCAAAGGTAAACCCAACACAAAACTAGCTAATGAAAAATTCAAAGGTTGAATTTCCACTAAAAACTAAGAGAAAGCATAGCATAAGAAAAAAAGTAACCACCATGTGGAGCAAAAACACAGAACAAACCCCAACGTAATATTCAGGCATCAAAAACAAAATATAACATAGCAAAACTGAATTCCTAAAGGAAGCTACCAGTACGTCGCCAGATCGCATCACCAGTAAGGCAGTAAGGTGTACGGCTGTCAATCAACACCACTAACCAGTATACCAGAGCAAACACAATTACAAACAAATGGATCACCAATATGCAGAAGATGCTCGCGAAGCCAACAAATAGAATCAGCCATAACTGGAAATACTGGATAGTCGGATAGATTGCTTCCATTCGGTACAGTCGTACATCTAACTACCTCACTGACTGTGATACGATAGGAATCCACAGCGAAATACACTCTCAAATACATGACTCACTCTACCAAAGACCAAGACTCTGCCTTCATCTCCCCGTCCACTTGTCAAAATGGCATCATCTGAAATGAAAGAACACAGATGGCTCACACTTAGACAGCAGTCATCAGTTGAACAAAAGAAATATTATCCAATTAACGAAAACAATAAGAAAATGAAGCGAGCTGCAAACTCCAAAACAGACATCAGATGGAAATTAAACCGTCCGGACATTTCACAATGCAACATACTGTGCGACAGACATCGATGAGACCATGCAAGCGAAAACAGATCACACTCAAGAAACTAATGAATAGTGTACAAACCACTATTCCCCATTCAACAAGCAATCAGGTTGCAGACATCAATACCACGAATACCCCCAACCAATACACCTCAACAAACAACTACATCAAGTCAAATGCATTTCAAAACCGAATCCTAAAACAACGATACCTGAACACAGAAATAAATGTAGAGCGACACGCAATCACAAAGCGCCACATAACCATCAACTGACACACAACCTAGAGATTAATACCGCTAAAATGCATGCAACAGTCAACAAACGGAACAGTGTTAGATGAACTGGCAGAATCTGTCTCAATTCACTCGTCACCCGTGATGTTCCAGACGAACACTGTCCCAAACATTCAAGATCTCAAATTTACCAAATATTTAGTTGAAGAACACCAGTCACACCACTACCAACACAATCAATGTCTACAACATGACACTGTGGACGATGCACGTTGCGTGTGGACCAAGGAAGGAAAAGTAAGCCAAATTGACCAAGCATCTCCTTTCACTAAACTTATCGTACTGATATACTGCTGATATCCACTGCAACAGAGAGACACTCTCAAACATCTCACAGTCACCAAGGCCACGAAACGTCCATCCTTCCAGCCAACAGAGATCAATGGCACAAATTCCACAATCAACACATCACTTCAAAACATGCTCACGAACACACCGAATACAACACTCACATAGCAATGCAATCACAACAACCAGCAGAAACAACCAACTCCACACAAAGCTGTTCTACATCATCACAGATGACTGTATCAATTCAACTGAAACTCCATTAGACTTCACTTCATCGCATGCTCCACATACGCTGTCTCAGATACACGTAGAATACTGAGAATACCAGATGGCCACAACAGTAGCCATGATGAATGGTAATGATGACCTTGAACAATCATTAAAACACTCTCGACAATGTGCACATGATGAAATGTAGAAGAAACGCTTACCTGCATCACCTAACATCCCTCGAAGTTCACCAAATTTGTCAATGCGAGTAGTGGTAGTATTACAACACACCATATATACCACGTCCAACCGTGAAGTAGTTTTGACTCCCTTTGTCCAACAATCACCAATGTTACTTCACCCATGTAGATCGCGTTCATTTCAAATTTCTAGATGAAATGAGAAACTGGAAAGTGGTTGTGTTGTGATTTCTGACGTGGAGAGCATGCAAAACACCAATCCACAATGAAACAAGTCATCTATTCAGTATGTGATCATCTAGGGAGCAGTTCGTCTCATTGTATGAATGAATAAGACTGATCGATTGGTGATTGACCAATGGGAGGAGAGATTTATCCACCTTCACAGTTATGACTGTTTTGTGAACAAGGGAAAATCAGCCATTCAGAGTGTGTCATGCAAATGTACACATCTTGAGAGCGTTGATGAGTTGTAGATTTTGTGCCTTTTTCTTCCCTTCCCCTCCCGTAGCAGTCAGTCAGCGTTTTCTCTTGTTTGTTATAATAGACTGGTGTTTTTGTGACCTTGTTTAGTTTACAAAATTGACACAAGTTGGTTTGGAATAACATGTGAAGTGACATTTACTGCCTGGTGAGCACAAACAGGGTCATTGGTAGTCAAATGTATCACCGTAGATGTTGTTTTTCTGAGTGTTTTGTTTTATCCATTTCGATCTCTGTTTATGTCCCTCCCGTAGCAGTCAGTCAGCGGAGTTCAGGATGCATGTTTCTGCCTACTTGCCCCATAGGCCATTAAAATGTTTTTTATCACGTTCCCACCTTCTTGGGCAAACTGCTCCATGTCTACTTGTATGTGCTTCATTCTATATCTTCTAGTTAACACTGTAATGTGCCTTCAATCATTTTAAGAAAACTCTGTCATGAAATTTAAGCATTTGAAGGAAGTGACTTAATGGAAGTGTGACGTACTCCTCTTTCTACAATGTAAATCACTTGGAAGGTGAATTGGCCATTCAGTAAACATGCATTACTTTCCTTAAAATACGATTTAATTACATTGATTTCAAGATCAAATAACATCCACTGCCTGGAGCAAGCATTTCAGTGAAGTAGCTGTCTGCATCAGCTAAAATTGTTTGTATATGTACAGTAATGGTAGATTAAAGGTTAAGTGGAACTTTAGTTCAACTTCCTAGTACTGAAACACTACATGTTCTCACGTAGCTTAAAATCAACACACTATTGTACCAACTTTTGTTTAAGTATACTCAATATTGTTCAATACAACATATTAAACATTTTCGAATACTGCGCTACAAATCTCATGCTTGCCTTGTCAAATTTTTTCATGAAGTCAGGTTAAACAAAGATGAATGAATGGATATTGTTCTAATGCCCAACACAACAGCTATAAAAGATATTAGAAGTGTTTATCCCTGAACATTGAAAACTGCTGCCTTACTAAGTAAGTAAGAATGGAAAGCGCTGTAAGAAAGGGACATAAACAGAGATCGAAATGGATAAAACAAAACACTCAGAAAAACAACATCTACGGTGATACATTTGACTACCAATGACCCTGTTTGTGCTCACCAGGCAGTAAATGTCACTTCACATGTTATTCCAAACCAACTTGTGTCAATTTTGTAAACTAAACAAGGTCACAAAAACACCAGTCTATTATAACAAACAAGAGAAAACGCTGACTGACTGCTACGGGAGGGGAAGGGAAGAAAAAGGCACAAAATCTACAACTCATCAACGCTCTCAAGATGTGTACATTTGCATGACACACTCTGAATGGCTGATTTTCCCTTGTTCACAAAACAGTCATAACTGTGAAGGTGGATAAATCTCTCCTCCCATTGGTCAATCACCAATCGATCAGTCTTATTCATTCATACAATGAGACGAACTGCTCCCTAGATGATCACATACTGAATAGATGACTTGTTTCATTGTGGATTGGTGTTTTGCATGCTCTCCACGTCAGAAATCACAACACAACCACTTTCCAGTTTCTCATTTCATCTAGAAATTTGAAATGAACGCGATCTACATGGGTGAAGTAACATTGGTGATTGTTGGACAAAGGGAGTCAAAACTACTTCACGGTTGGACGTGGTATATATGGTGTGTTGTAATACTACCACTACTCGCATTGACAAATTTGGTGAACTTCGAGGGATGTTAGGTGATGCAGGTAAGCGTTTCTTCTACATTTCATCATGTGCACATTGTCGAGAGTGTTTTAATGATTGTTCAAGGTCATCATTACCATTCATCATGGCTACTGTTGTGGCCATCTGGTATTCTCAGTATTCTACGTGTATCTGAGACAGCGTATGTGGAGCATGCGATGAAGTGAAGTCTAATGGAGTTTCAGTTGAATTGATACAGTCATCTGTGATGATGTAGAACAGCTTTGTGTGGAGTTGGTTGTTTCTGCTGGTTGTTGTGATTGCATTGCTATGTGAGTGTTGTATTCGGTGTGTTCGTGAGCATGTTTTGAAGTGATGTGTTGATTGTGGAATTTGTGCCATTGATCTCTGTTGGCTGGAAGGATGGACGTTTCGTGGCCTTGGTGACTGTGAGATGTTTGAGAGTGTCTCTCTGTTGCAGTGGATATCAGCAGTATATCAGTACGATAAGTTTAGTGAAAGGAGATGCTTGGTCAATTTGGCTTACTTTTCCTTCCTTGGTCCACACGCAACGTGCATCGTCCACAGTGTCATGTTGTAGACATTGATTGTGTTGGTAGTGGTGTGACTGGTGTTCTTCAACTAAATATTTGGTAAATTTGAGATCTTGAATGTTTGGGACAGTGTTCGTCTGGAACATCACGGGTGACGAGTGAATTGAGACAGATTCTGCCAGTTCATCTAACACTGTTCCGTTTGTTGACTGTTGCATGCATTTTAGCGGTATTAATCTCTAGGTTGTGTGTCAGTTGATGGTTATGTGGCGCTTTGTGATTGCGTGTCGCTCTACATTTATTTCTGTGTTCAGGTATCGTTGTTTTAGGATTCGGTTTTGAAATGCATTTGACTTGATGTAGTTGTTTGTTGAGGTGTATTGGTTGGGGGTATTCGTGGTATTGATGTCTGCAACCTGATTGCTTGTTGAATGGGGAATAGTGGTTTGTACACTATTCATTAGTTTCTTGAGTGTGATCTGTTTTCGCTTGCATGGTCTCATCGATGTCTGTCGCACAGTATGTTGCATTGTGAAATGTCCGGACGGTTTAATTTCCATCTGATGTCTGTTTTGGAGTTTGCAGCTCGCTTCATTTTCTTATTGTTTTCGTTAATTGGATAATATTTCTTTTGTTCAACTGATGACTGCTGTCTAAGTGTGAGCCATCTGTGTTCTTTCATTTCAGATGATGCCATTTTGACAAGTGGACGGGGAGATGAAGGCAGAGTCTTGGTCTTTGGTAGAGTGAGTCATGTATTTGAGAGTGTATTTCGCTGTGGATTCCTATCGTATCACAGTCAGTGAGGTAGTTAGATGTACGACTGTACCGAATGGAAGCAATCTATCCGACTATCCAGTATTTCCAGTTATGGCTGATTCTATTTGTTGGCTTCGCGAGCATCTTCTGCATATTGGTGATCCATTTGTTTGTAATTGTGTTTGCTCTGGTATACTGGTTAGTGGTGTTGATTGACAGCCGTACACCTTACTGCCTTACTGGTGATGCGATTATTCATCTCTTGACTTCATATTATTTTATAACGTTTTTGTCTTGCTTTTTGGTATTTCTATGCTTTTGTTTCATTTCGTAATTCTTTCAGTTAATGGACTGCTTCATCAGGCTTATTTGTTTTCTTGTCTTTATTGGTGCTCAGTTATTCACCTTTTTCTGCTTTTGGTTCTTTGTTGAACCCCCCCCCCTGTTCGGATTCTCTCATCAATTTTATAATGTACACACGCCAACTCTCCTTTGAATCGATGTTTATAATGAGTATTGTAGGTTCATCGAGTGATAATGTAGGTCGCGCAAAGATTGCCTATTTTGCATAATGAGTTGCGTAACGCTTGTGAAGTATGCCTAATCTGAAGTGTGTCACGATATCACATGGACAGTAGGAAGATTAGTAAATTTATTCTGAAGTGAGCTACGAGCTAAACATTTGTGATGGCGGAATCGTCAAACTTTAACCGCGAAAGTAGGAGGCCTGGACAGTATTCTTCCACTCATTCCACTTATGTTTTTCGCGCAGACAGAAAGAGCTTCGATTATGCAAATGCTATGAAGGTATGCAACCTGTTAAGATTTCACCTTATAAGGGTTCTTGAATTCACAGGTTCGGCGGATGGAAAGACCTGCGTTGATGACGCGTTCAATTTGATGCACTGTTACCTCTTATTCTTCTAGCAATGAATATCCTCACTACATTGCCAATTTTCAGGAAATCCTGTTTTATTTGGTGGTGGAATTATAGTTTGCTTCAGCAGAACACTGATTTTCTCTTCGCTAGTAATAGACATTCATCAATGATTCTGTGCAAAACTGAAGAATCTGTTCATACGGTGGTACTGGTAAGTTTCATTTCGAAATGGCATTCATAAGTTTTTCAGCTTCAATGGCTGAATGCAGAGTTGTAGTTTTCTGTATTGCAAAAGTTTGCTGTTGTAACATGCTACAGGATAGACTACAGCGTAGTAGTTGTCCATTCAGAATGCTTCTGTTATTCACTTGGGATACTGTTCTGTTTGATGAAGGAGAATAACTTCACAGCCATTTCACTATTCCAGACGATATCCTTTCAATGTTTTTTTATGCTGTTCATAACTAACAAGGAAGTATTGGTTCTACTCCAATTCGATTCTAATTATAAACGTCGAAATAAGCGAACTGATAAGTCAAATTATTCTGCCAGTTAAAAGTATTGGTTCCTGTGAATCGTTCCTTGAAAAAACTTCAGTAAGGATGTAGGGACTTCAAGTGGTTGTTTTTACTCTTTATATATGACATCTCAAATTCCAATTTTGATATGCAGCCCAGAGATTGAGGTATGGCAGCTTGGAATTTACTGGATGTAGCCATGGGCAAAAAGACTTCAAGATTCTGGATACAGTTTCAAATTTCCTTCTCGTTGCCACGACTACCCGGCTTTTCTTTGGATATATTGATAAAACTGACTCTATCTGTGTCAGGGGGACGGAGTTATTCAGCAGAAAGCTTTGGACCTACATTTTGCACTTGTCGCCACTCTTCAGAAAGGCATTCACGTAAACTTAAGGAGACTGATTTCCTTCAGAAATCGGGACCCGTATCACTCAGTGCTGTATTCCAAACTGATACCACTTATCTGTTCTCGTTAGCTCTGGGATACATATTTTTGACCAATGCCAACAAGCACGAAACCTAGGTGCAGGGCTTCCTGCAGATTGCTCCCGACCATTTATTACCAATCACAGTGTACCATCTTCCTATATCTTCTTGCTTGGGGCCCACATTACAAATGATCTGTTGAATTCGGTTAACACTTAGGACTAGACATCAAATAGATTAATCTCTACGATTCAATCAATGGCTCAATTACCTATCTGTAATCAACAGATTTTCAGTTCAAGTTGAAATATTCATGCCTAATAATTTTTATGATGTGGATTAGAATGAAGATAAAGATTGAGAATCTGTACGTGTTGATATCTGTTTTACATCTACGCGAAATGTTGCTATGTCACACATGACTAGTAACCTCTCGTATGTTAGAAGCTGATGAATTAGTTAAATCGATTGAAAAAACCAGAAGTAAATGAAAATATCAGTCCACATCCACTTATATTACGATTAATATTGACATAGGTACGAAAATCTTAGAGGTTACTGACTGACAGATATCTCAGCGCTACACGGCTGTGAGGTATAAGAGTTTCACACAAAATGCATATTATCATAGAAATCAATTGAAAGGTGTTCGAATGCCGCGAAGTTTTAGAGTAACAGTTGTTTGGGGGTATGAATACAGCAGGGAAGATTTAGAGCTGTTTATGATAATGGTAGTGGTGCAGCGTTCTTCCAGATTCAATGTTTGATTGTATACATTTCATCAGCTGGCTTGTTAAAAACATTGTCACTGACTCCATAAGAAATGACATAAGCTGAACTTATGGCATTTGCTTCGTTTCTGCCACAATGATAAGATTAGCTGCATTATATGTTTTTTTAATGACTGATGTTAGCCTACGTCTCAAAACTATACCATTCAACATCTCTTCACTAAAAAAATATACTATTAACTGACATGTTTATTTGTAGACTAATGACGGCAATCAACCGTGCTCGCTAACCAGATCAAGGTGGTCTTAAGGTGTAACGGTCGTTTGGCTCTGTTGAACCCAGGCTCATCTGCGGTATACTTAAATTAGAAGCATTTAGTCTCTTTTATGAATTTAGATAGTGTAATTAGGAGATGAAGTTTATCCTAACAATGTAATGTACTTGCGTAATACATTCCCAACAATCTCCTCCACTATACATTTACTTGTCAAGTGAATTTATATTAAACCGAAGAGTGGCAAGATAATTATAACAGTTAAGACAAAGCGGATTAGAATTAAAAAAAGACGAAAGTAAAAAAGAAGAGTGACATAGTTGATCTTAAACTTGGTGTAGTGCAAGAACAAACTGCTTTTTTATGCACAAAGGTGGTTCCAATTAGCGTATGACTATCGCTCCCACAGTTCCCAGTATACGACCCTGACTGTTTCTGCATAAAACTATGAACGCTGTTTGAATATTAGTTTTGTAACCTGTTTCTATAACATGTTTAGCTGTAGATAATGAGGGTCGTCTCCTACCAGCGTTTATCAAGGTTTCGAATTCCATTTGTTTTTGAAGCCATTTAGATACATGCTCCTCCACCCTCAGCTGCATGGCTCGATTACTCCTCCCTTATTTATTTGTGAACACACACATGTAAATTGGTAAGCACGATGGAATGTTGATATCAGACGATGACTGGAGGTGAAGTGAAAATCTGAGCAGCGGTGGTGTTCGAACCAGCGACTACTAGGATTCTGGCCCGATGTCCTGCTAACTGAGGTACAAGACCTGATTTTTATTACACTTCAGTCACCAAGGGTTTGCCCGACTACCATGTGAATTCATGACGTGTTACTACCACTCGATTGTACTCACACTGGCTGTGCAATCAGGACTTCTCATCTTATTTCATCTAACTGAGAGAGTGGGAGCATCGTACGGATTATCATTCTTGACTATCTGCCGTCGTTTGGCAGACTAGTATTGATATTGGGTGGTGATTTAAGGTGAAATGAAAATTTGGGCCGTGGCAGGATGTAACTCAGTCATCGATACAGTGTCTAGGTTTGTGGTGAGGCATTTATCTTGTTTCTGCCACAATGACTGATGTTAGCCTACGTCTCGAAACTATACCATTCAACATCTCTTTGTATAGTAGTAGGTTGATATGGAAGCCTTTCTTGGTATCCGTGTATAGAGTTAGCTTTGGAGCTACCTGACCTCTCCAGTGGCTTATAAACTTTAACGGATATCTGTTTTCCATAAGTGTTATGGTTAGTAATTTCATATCTTCATCCGTCGTATCCGGTGTTTAGATACGACAGATTATATTAAACAGATATTTTACTAGACCTCGGTTGTATTGGATTAGACAAAATTTGTAAAGATTCAGGTCTAGTCCTGCCCACGTAGGCTTTCTTTAAACTGACCATCTTGTTGAACCATCTTCTCTTCGACTCAGGTGTACGTCCAAGAATGGCAGATGATTATTATTCTCTTTCTCACAAGTCAGGCTGATGTGAGTTTGTGAGGTGTTAAGTCTTTTTAGAAGACAAGTCATATCCTCATGCTTCTCTTAAATCACTATGATGTCATCAATATGCCTCTTGTAAAGAGGAACTTTAGCGATGAGATCACCAGCCAGATTTTCGATATATGACATATAAATATTAGCTAGTAATGGTCCTAAGGGACTATCCATATAAACTTGTTGAAAGTGTTGACCTTCAAATCTGAAATGAACTTTGTCGGTACAAATCAATAGTGGTAACTTCAAAAAGTTGGAGTGTAATAGGAAATAGGAAGTTTTAGAGGATATATAGCCACATTGAATGCTAATAGTCTTGGACAATGACACGTTAGTAGATGAGGAATTTGCATTGAAAGACCACATAGTCTTGTTTTTGACATTAATGTCACTAAGACAATCAACAAGTTAAAAAGCATCTTTCAATGAAAACTTACAGAATTCGTTTCAAACTGGATTTAACATTTCCGCGAACCAATTCTCCAGTTTGTGTGTGGAAGAAGGGCAAACAGACAACATAAGGCGTAAAGGATTACTAGTTTTATGAATCTTAGGTAATCCATATAAATTTGGAAATCCAGATCCCATGGATTGAATGAACCGATTTCCCCTTTACTAATAGCACTCATATTTCAAAAGTTTTATCAAATGAGCGGTTACTTTTGCTTCCAATTTTCTAGTATCTTCTGATGGAACATTAGTCATGAATTTACTTTCATTACTGAGGATGGATAACATTTTATTTTTATAGTCAGATCTATTCATCACAACAATGCCTGATCCTTTATCGGGTTTGAGAATGTTTATATCTGATCTGTTCCGTAATTCTCTCAAAGATTTGGAGTGCTGTGAATTCGAAATGCTCTTTTGTCTTTTTCCTAAACTATGAAAATGATAAGCAGTATCAACTAATTTAGGCTTTAACCAACTTTGGTAATCTGAAGACTTAGAGAAAAGAGGACTCAACTGGTCATAGAGATTTTCAAACTGAGCATTGATATCCAGCTGAGAAATTTTCATGTGCGGAACCTAAAAATTGAATCCAAGGTAAAATGCCTCTTTGTTATGAGTTGAAAATACAACAGAGGACAAATTAATCATATATTTTTCTGGATCGTATGGAAATGAGTTCGTTAGAAATTCCTTAGAACGGGATCTAGACAATTTCCTCCTTGTTCTATCCTTCGTCTTACTGATAACAAAACTACGAAATTTGATGAATTTTAGATGGCAAATAAGAGAAATATCCGACAACACCGACGAAGCATGAATATGCATTTCAATTAAACTGCATAACCTCACACTGAAATTATGCACACGGAATGTAAAACAGATCCTTTAGTTTTATGCAGTGTTATTCCAGTGCATATATCCTATTGAAATGAAAAAATGTTAAAACGTCTGCAGAATCAGAGAACTTCAAATAACTTCCTTCCTTCAACTCTGTGTCTGAATATGGAACATCGTTCAAAATGACATCAACTGCTTATCCACGATACCTGCCATATTTGGTTACTAGGACTTTTTGAGGTGGAAAGTTTCTTATTAATTAAAAACTATCAAGAAAGAGACTCATAGCCTAGTTGCTAAAGTAACTGGCTGACAATCTGAAAACTACTCTTTGGGATCCTACCATCACTTAGATTTTCATTGAAACATCCGACCAATTTCTGACGATAGTCCGTACAATTTAAATTTCTCAGCGTGATGAAGAGGGTAGCACCATTCGGGCCAGAAAAGTAGTTTATCCTAGCAGTTGCTAGAGTGGCCTTTAAAACAGAGTGACTTTAAAGGCCACTCTAACAAGTGAAATAATCAATCAGACTGATCTATTTTATTAAAAACTCCCTTTTCAATGGAAACGAAGAAACCTAATTGGCTACTTTAATCATTGCTAGGGTGGCCTTTAAAGTCGCCCTTAAAGTAGCTCGAAGAAGAGTGACTTTAAAGGCTACCTTAGCAACCGCTGAGATAAAAAAACTACGTTCCTCTAATCAACTGAAAATTACCTTCACAGTCGAAATTCTGAAATTCGACTGATTAATTTTCGATTTCACTCATGGCAAGTGGCTTTAAAGGTCACCT